TTTATAAACAACTTTGCCTCAGTCAGTACATCATAATAATGAATCTGACATTACCCTTTTTAAATTCAGCTTTACTATTTCATTTATTGCAAAAGTTGCGAATGTCCAAATATAAAACCAACTTCACCTCGATTATTAAATACGAAAGTCTAAATGTGCAAATTTATAAGCAACTTCACCTTAATTATTGACTGCGAAAGTCTTTATCTTGTGATCATAACAGTACGCCATGATAATTTATTTGTATTAGCCTTTTTAAATTCTGCTTTACTATTTTATTGATCGCAAAAGTTGCGAATATGCGAATATAAAACCAACTTTACCTCATTTATTGAATGCGAAACTCTGAATGTGTGAATTTATAACCAACTTTACCTCAGTTGCGTTGTGATCATAACCGCATGTCATGATATGTAGTCTGTATTAGCTTTTTTAAATTCTGATTTACTATTTTTTTGAGCACTAAAATTCGATTGTGTGAATATAAAACCAACTTTACCTCAATTATTGAATGCGAAAGTCTGAATGTGAGAATTTATAACCAATTTTACCTCGGTTGTGTTTTGATCATAACAGTATATAATAATAATTAATCTTTTAGACTTTTAACGTTATGCTTTACTCTTTTATTGCACAAATGTGCAAACTTTACATCAATGTAAAAATACCTGACTAGCTTGAAGTTTTTTAAGGTTATAACTGTTCTGATGAGCTAAACTCCTTATGAGCAGACGTTTTTGCCACTTTATTATGTTCTCAGCAGTCAACCGTGCATTGTCTTAGTGCATTATGAAGCAGTTCTCTGAGCCCAGGGTTGCCAGGTTTTCACAAAAGTCAAAACTAGCGTAACTGCTATTCCAACTCATCCAATCTCTAACTTGACTGACTGTGACAGCAATGGAGAGTAGGAGGTTGGGCTAGTTGGAATGGCATTCTTTGAAAACTCTAAATAGCGAGTTTGCCCAGGGTTGCCAGGTTTTCACAACAAAACTCAAAACTAGCGGAAATGCCATTCCAACTAGCCCAATTCCGAAACTTGATATATTGTAATAGAGAGCAGGGGGTTGAGGCTTTTAAGGATGGAGGATATGTTTGTGTCAGACATGAGGAGGGGTGAATGGGGTCAACCTGTGGAATTAAAAAAACAACCCGCGGGATAACTGTGGACTTGGCATCACTTCCGCTGCTAACGCTCAATGGTAGGTTGTTTGCGCGCGTACGACGCCTTCGCGTGATGCCTCATCTGTGATTGGCTGAAGACTCGCAGGTCGGAGGCCTGTTGGGACGCAGACCATTTTGAGTTTGATGCGTCAGGTTGGTGAGCATTCTTTCTCCAGCAGGTCGTGTTGTTATTTGTCGTTTGCCTGCTGTGTTTCCCGCCATCGTTCATTTTAAAATGATATTCTGCTGCTCATTCTGCCACACTTCTTTCCATCCAGAACTTTCCTGTTTTTTTTTTCTGTGCATGTGCCACGCTGCCACATCCTCATTATACCGCTGGCTGTTGGGTAGAATTAAAACAGTAGTGCATGGAAAAATGTTCAGTTTTTAGTGGGAAAATATGCGCTTTTAGATGATCTCTAAAAGACACTGTGAAGTAGAATTAAAGGGACAGTTCACCCTCCAAAAAAAAAACAAAAATTTGCTCACTATTTACTTCAAGTGAGATTCTTTCTTCTATTGAACATGAAAAAAGATATTTTGAAGAATGTTGGATACCTGTAACCATTGACTTCTATAGTAGGAAGTCAATGGATTCAGGTATCCAACATATTTCTTCAAAGTATCCTCTTTTGTGTTCGACAGAAGAAAGAAACTTACAAATGTTTAAAAGGGGTGAGTAAATGATGACATAATTTTTATTTTGTGGTGAACCGTCTCTTTAAATTATGTCATTTATTTGTTCTCTAGTTTCTTTCTTCTGTTGAACACAAATTTAAATATACTGAAGAATGCTGGAAAATAAACAGCCATTGACATCCATAGTATTTTAATTTCCCTGGATGTAAAAGGCTACCAAGTTTCAACATTCCTCAAAATATCTTCTTTTGTGTTCAACAAAAATTGAGAGCAAGTACAATGAGTGCATTTTTATTTGTGTGTGAACTATCCCTTTATACAGCACTATAATTCAACATTATCTGCTTACTCTTGTAAAAATAAAGGTGCACCATAGCCTTTCTTCACTGCAAAAATATTTCTTTTTCTACTTTAGTGTTGTTTTCAGAACAAATATCTAAAAGTTTTAGAAGCAAAATTAACGAAATGTATTAAAATAAAGTCTCTGGTGTTGCTTGAAAGGAATGGAAACTAAAAAAAATAACAATACATTTTTAAAATACATTGGATGACTAAATATTTGTAATTTGAAACAAGTTATTTTTATTTTTTTATAATTTATGTATTAATATAATAATAATAATTATTATTATTATAAATATTAATAATGTATTTTTAATAATAATAATAGTCTTATAATTATTGTTGTTATTATTAGTAGCAGTCTTTTATTAATATAATAATTATAGTTGTAATATAATTGTAGTTGTAATAGCTATTGTACAATATACTGTAATATAATTATTATTATAATTATTAGTAGTGTTATTAATATTAGTACTTATATTATTCGTATTAGTATCATCATTGTAAATGATATTATAATATATTAATACTATTGTTATTGTTGTGAATAGTATTTAAATTTGTTATTAATAATGTATTTTATATTTATTAAATATATGTATTTATATTTATCATTAATAATAATGCTAATATTAATACTATTATTAGTAGTTTCAATATAATTTTTAGTATTGGTGTTTATATTATTATTATTTATCGTTATAAATACTATTATTATTTTTAGGTGTACTTAAAATCATATTCTGGTATATATATATATATATATATATATATATATATATATATATATATATATATATATATATATATATATATATATATATATATATATATATATATATACAGAAATCGATATTAAAGCTCAAAGTTACCATCGAAGCACCTTTATTTTTAAATGTACCATATAGCACTGTAGTATTATCACCCTCATTCTCTAAACTGAAGCATGTTTAATATCTACTCTTGCTTGCATTCTGTCCTATGCTTTTTCTCGCATTAGACATTATATATACAGTGGATTTACATCAAACATCAGCATTCACGCATGCGTGTAACATGGATGTTGAGATTGCGCCGTACCGGTGTGATGTAGATCGCATGTCAGTAATAATGTCTATGACAGAATATCATTTTAAAATCACATTTTTGGTCTCCTTTATGTGTTGTCTTGTGTGTACATGGAGAAACTGTAAGTTGTTCACTCAGCAACTTTCTCATGTACAAATGCATGACACTTTGACAACCAGATGAATGTGGATAGGTTGATTTTTTTTGTATTATTGTACTGTATTTTCCTTCATAACTCTGAAAAAAGGAGCGCTGTCTTGTCACATATGTCTTCTCTGTGAAAAAGGAACTACACAAAAGTCTGTCACGACAAGTTGTGTATTCTTTTTATGAGATTTGCAATGGATGTGTGCCTGAAGTCAAAGTGGTTAAGCTTCGTTGGGAATATATATATATATATATATATATATATATATATATATATATATATATATATATATATATATATATATATATATATATATATATATATATATATTAGTGCTGCACAATATATCCTAAAAGTATCACTATTGCGATAATAGTATGGGATAATTCAACGCAATCTCACGGTAATTCGTAACTTTTTGATTTAGTGGCTAATTCATATAAATTCGTACGATCTAATTCGTACAATTTAGTACGATTTGCTCATCCCCCAATGACGGTTGGGTTTAAGGGTGGGGTTAGGTGCCACGCCTCCTTTTTAAAATCGTACATTTTTGTATGACTAAACACGTACAAATTCATACGAATTAGCCACTAAACTGGCAAAACGTAAAATACTTACGTTTTCTCGTGAGATCAGGCTGGATAATTTCATTTATTTTATGCATTGGTTGTTTATTTAAATTTGAACAATCAGAAGGGGCCGTTCTATCTTTATCCCCGCCTCCTGAGTAGTTGCTGTTCTGCTATTGGCTGGAGCAGCTCAAAGATGAATCCAAAGCTGAAAATAAACACTTCTGGCAGAAAAATGACAACAGCCAATCAGAGAATATCTGCGGTTTTCACTCACTCATAGTGTTTTAAAGAGTAAACGTTTGCACCTCATCAGTTTTTTTAGTCTGAATTAGATCTGAATAATATATTTTACCTTGTTTATTTTAATATCGTTAAATAAATACATGATTTAAATTTAAAAAAAAATCAAAAATAACACTTAACACAAGAAATATTGTAAGAAATATTGTTATCGCAACACAAAATATTGCATATTTTTTCAGTATCATGCAGCAATAATATATATATATATATATATATATATATACACACACATAACGATACAAAGCGTATATATAACATATATGTCTTTTATGATCCTGTCAGAGTCATCTTTTGCCAACTTGATTCCATTGTATAATCAATATCTCGGGGTTTATTGTTTTTGTCGCCAGAGTTCTGTTTCCAGTGAACGGGCATGCCTTGTATTGATTGCACACAGCATGTATTGGATGGTTGTCTGCACACGGATTGACCGTGACGTTTCGTTTGTACTGGGTCTTGAAATATGTTTAGCTCTTCTCCGCTTGAGCTGCAGACTGTGAGAATCCAGGTTATGCAACTCAAGAAAAAGCCATTTGATCCAAAATGGCTTCCGTCACCCTCTTTTGTTGTGTTTTGTCACCCTCCTCTCTGGGTTTTTGTCCGTCTTGCCCAACAATAAACAACACAGCTTCAGTCCTGAAGTGTTTGTCGTTGGGGTTGTTAAACAAAAATCATGATTCGCCTTTATGGAATATTCTTAATAATTCAGATACGTCAGTTTCACAGGTATGATCTTAACTCTGTTTACCTCTTGTTTGCAGTGGAGCCTCCGTCAGACTTAAAATTTAAAATCCTGAATGAAAACACAGTGCAAATGTCATGGAGGAAGCCCTCGTCTCAGATACAGGGCTACAGAATACAGGTCACGTCAGATACAGGTGTGTAACGCCATAGGCTACAACAGGGATCACCAAACTTGTTCCCGGAGGAACGGTGTCCTGCAAATTTTTAGCTCCAACCCTAATCGAACACACCTGAACAAGCTAATCAAGGTCTTACTAGGTATATTTGAAACACCCAGGCAGGTGTGTTGAGGCAAGTCGGAGCTAAACCCTGTAGGGCACCGGACCTCCAGGAAAAAGATTGGTGCCCCCTGGGCTACAACATCTGCATGACTTTACATCAGATTGCGGTGACTTTTCTTCACACTTGATATCAATATCTGTTCCAGATGATTCTAAAGAATTGAGTCTTCCTGCCTCGTCCACAAGCACATCAATTACAGATCTAACTCCAGATGTAGACTATTCAGTGTCAATCAATTCATATGATGGTGCTGAAGAAAGTATCCCTATCCTTGGACAAATCACAAGTAAGTGCACTTACATACCGCTTGTGCTTGTTAAAGGGACAGTTTATCCAAAAATGAAAGTTCTGTCATCGTTTATTCATCCTACACTTGATCCAAACCTACTTCAGTTTCTTCCTTCTGTTGAACACAGTTAACATACACTGAAGAATGCTGGAAAACACATCCACCGATCTCCATTGATTTTTTTGGATGTTAAAGGTTTCCAATATTCTTTAGAATATCTTGTTGTATGTTTAACAAAATAAACGAAGTTTAGAATCAATTAAGCGCAAGAAATAATGAGGAAGTCTTTTTTAATTTGAACCATAGCATACTCTTTGAAACATTTGCATGGGAAAACATCATTGAAACTTTCTTAAAGTGCCCCTATTTTGTATTATAAAAGGCCATAGTTTGGTTTTTCGAGTCTCCAGCAACAGGCTAATATGCTAACAGGCTAATATGCTAAACTCTTAATTGAGTTGTTCAGCGATTTATTTTTCCAAACCCTTCTTTGCTTGACATTAATCTGCAGTGATTAGTCCGATGACCATTATGGCTTATAAGTGTTAAAACTAGCAGACATGCTATATGTAATGATTATCAGCGATTTAGCGGTTGCAGATCGCCATATATATATATATATATATATATATATATATATATATATATATATATATATAAATATATATACATACACACTAACACACACACTATATATATATATATATATATATATATATATATACATACATATATATATATATATATATATATACATATATATATATATATATATATATATATATATATATATATATACATACACACACACACACTAACACACACACTATATATATATATATATATATATATATATATATATATATATATATATATATATATATATATATATATATATATATACTAGATATTGCATACGGACCCTGAGCATTTGTCAATAGCGCCGCCATATTTGTACAGTGCTCCCAGCACAAGTGTCATTCAACCGCACTAGTCAAGACAGTGTTACTACGTGAATGTAATGTATATATCTATAGCAGATCGCTAACAGACTACAAAACCGCCATTATGGACTACAAGCTCCAGTCATGCACCACACACACTCACACCGGTTCCTGATCCTGACTGACTGCATACAAGCTACTGGAGGATTGTCAAAGACTGATTACATGGACTATTTATACAGCGCACACACACACATCAGGGCTGAGTCTTGTTTATTTGTCCAGTTAACATTACAACGTGTTTTTCTTGCCTTGTCTTGTGTTAGATCCTTGCTTTGTTTTATTGTTTATTCCTGTATGCTGCCTGCCTATTGACCTTCCGCTTGTTTATGACCATGACTCTAGATTTACTTGCATACATCTGTTTTCCGCTGTGTTGTCCGTTGCTTGCCTGAACATCCTGTTAAAAAAAAAACTGTGTTTGGATTCGTACACCCATTGTGACTCTATATGTGTTATAGGAACGTATTAAGCACCGCAGTACACTAGTGTACCATCATAACTCCAAGTAATGATAGCAACAAACATTCAGCATTGAAATCGACACATTTCTCGACATCAGCTTCAACTATTTTGAACTTTGATTGTTTTATGCTGGCTAGCAAGTCAGAGGCGCTCTGGGATGCTTTTCCGAAAACCATCATCAGCTTACTAAGGTCGCAATACAAACGTTACAATTATTGTTCAGCGTTTTTTTTTCCCCCAAATCTGTTGTTTCAACAAATGTATGCAAACAATATAATTTGTACAAAGCATAAAATTAAAAATAATTAAATGCAAATTTTCTGCAAAAAAGTTGCTACACCGCATCGTTTATATCATTAAGGACGTTTTACATTAAAACTAACGTGGTTCAAACAATAGATCTGTGACAGAGCAATACAGTTTTGAGAAACACTCGTCACTACATAGTTAATTTCACAAACGATCCATCATACTATGGAAGTTCAGCTTCGGGTTTTGTCATTGTTTCGGAAACGCATCCCTGGTTGACACAGCTTAGGCCATAGATCTTAAACTCAATTCCTGGAGGGCCACAGCTCTGCACAGTTTTGCTCCAACCCTAATCAAACAAAGCTGATCCAACTAATCAAGGTGCTCAGTTGGATTAGATGTGTTTGATTTGGGTCGGAGCAAAACTGCAGAGTCTTGGCCCTCCAGGAATCGAGTTTGTGACCAATGGCTTAGGCCATTGAGATGAATAAGTTTCATAGCACAGTGCTTTCTGTGTCTGCTGGGAAAGCCATTTTAGACACTAACAACTTTTGACTTTAGGCAGTAAAAACGAAACATTTTACCCTTACAGTAGCCCAGCATGTTTATTACGTGATGCAATCTGATTCGCTTGAAACTTTTACAGTGTTTAAGGGAGCGGGTTTTATACATTTATATGTTGAAAAGATTCTGAATCAGCCTCTTAAGTTTTGCAAGTTTTGTGTGCTTTACGATTTTAACCTCACTTAGAGCTGTGTTTCATACTACATAACAGGTCATTTTTAAAAATCCATAATAGGGGCACTTAAAAGCATTCAAAATGAGTTTGAGATCTACATCTAAATGGTTTTATTTCTAAAAATAAACCTCTGCTAATCTCCTCTGCTATAACAGTTCAATCCAGCAACACAAGTGGACCAAGGAGGCCACAGTCAGAGGCTGTCAGTAAGTATATTCAATCAAATATCTCCTCATCATCTTGTCGCATGTCACCTATTAAATTAAATTCTGTAAGCACTGCTATTAGATATTTTTTTTTCCATTTTGTCTTACCAGCGTAGACTTGAAAAAAAACTTGTTACTACTTGCAAAGAATGATTGCTTAAGGTTGTGGTTGGGAATGCTAAATTGCCTTTAATTAAAAGCATTAAAATAGAATCAGAGCTCATAAAACATTTAGCTTTGTTCTGTTAGAAGTGGCTGTTAAACTGCAGAGGAGGACTGAGGTCTCCTCTAGCCTCATTCATTGACTCTCACACACCCGACATCTCTTTTTAAATCACTGGAAAGGATTACGGTCCTGACCCAGTTACACTCCTTCGCTCTTTTTCTTGCGAGTCCAAATCGAGTATCGGAGCCAAAATAAATCCCATTGAAATTCCAGAAAACCGGTTCTCAAGACGTACATTTCACAGTAAAGTTAATCATATCCAAGGGCACAAAAAAGGTTTATTAAAAATTTCCATTGATTTGCAAGGCTGCTTTTTCTTGTTACTTTGGAAATGTTGGAGAAAACTTGGACGTTTTTTAAGAGTCATTAATAATTAAGTGTTCTTGAAGAATAAACTAAATAAAATGCTTTCCTTAAAGGAAGACTTCACTTTTTGAAAATAGGCTCATTTTACAACTTACTTAGAGGTAAACAGATTCATCATTTTTAAATCCATTCAGCCATTTTCAGAGTTTCACAGGAGCACTTTTAGCTTAGCTTAGCATATATCATTGAATCGGAACATTAGCATCTTGCTCAAAAAACAACCAAAGAGTTTTGATTTTCTTATTTACATCTTGACACTTTTGTTGTTACATCATGTACTAAGACAAAAATACAATAAATAAAAACGAAAAATAAAATAGTTAAAAATTAAAATAAATACTATTTTCTAGGCTAATATGGCTAAGAACTATATTCTCATTCTAGCGTAAAAATCAAGGAACTTTGTTGCTGTACCATGGCTGCAGCAGAGCAATGATGTTACACAGCTCAGTACACTTTTTGCAGGTGACCACATTGGCAGTGTTGGGCAAGCTACTTAAAAAATGTAGTGAGCTAAGCTATTTGCTACTTCACTTAAAATGTAGCTTAACTACACTTAAAGCTACCCTCTGGGAAATGTAGCAAGCTAAGCTAAAAGCTACACGGCAAAAGTAGCTTATCTACATCTAAGCTATTTTTACAATTTTCATTTTTAAATCGAAGCAACTTAAATCCAAGTCAGTCATATCTTAGTGATCAATAAAACTGTCAATGAAACATATGAGGCAGAATAGTTCAGTTATTTACTGTAAATAATATGCTGTACTAAACAGAAACACATTATAGTATAACAGCTTAAAAAAAATCCAATAAATAAATGTGTTATACATTTTTAAATATTATAGTAATTTATAGCAAGGGGAAATATTTTGGAATAATAATTATATTGTGTGTGTGTGTGTGTGTGTATGTATATATCTATATATCTATATATATATATATATATATCTATATATATATATATATATACACACACACACACACACACACACACACACACACACACACACACACACACACACATTTCTGAGGAATCAGAAATAACTCCACTCCCTTAGACATCTTTCCATCAAGCAAGTTTTACCAGAGGTGGCAGTAACGCTCAAAAATGTTGTCGAACTCCATAAAACAGGAAGAAGATATCGTCATTCTCGCCATCATATGGATTTACTTCATCAGCTAGACACCGGCCTCACATCTCCATGAATGTTGGTGCCGTCACTTATTGATCTGGATCGGTAAATGTAGCTTGTGTGGACGCTACTGCGCTACTTGACTAATAAAATAGCTTCGCTATTGAATAGCTATTTGATTTAGAAACTAGCAATGCTACCGCCACGCTACTGAGAAATGTATTTGAGCTAGTAGCGTCACTACTTGTAGCGACGCTACTGCCCAACACTGCACATTGTAAATGATCAAACTGGGGACTATTTTCAGGTGTTGCATGATTGATCTTGCTGTAGCCATGGTACAGCAACAAAGTTTGCTGATTATCACGCCAGAATGAGAGTATATAGTTCCTAGCCATATTTAACTGAAAAATAGCAGCTTTTCATTTTCCATCAGTCTTAGTACATGATGTAACTACAGAACAGTCAAGCTTTAAAGAGGAAAATTGTTGAAACTCTGGTCATTTTTGAGCGAGATGCTAATGGTCTAATCTGATTTAATGATTTATGCTAAGCTAAGCTAAAGGTGCTTCCACTAGACCCGGAGATTGGCTGAATGGATTTAAAAATGGTAAAGCTCAACTGTAAAATAAAACTATTTCCAAAAAATCTGGAGCACTCTTTCACAGAAAGCATTTTTGGCTAATTAGCAAGCTAGGGACTATTTTCAGGTGTTACATATTATCATTGTTTCTGCTGCAGTCATGGTACGGAAACAAAGTCTTGATTATTATGCCAGAATAAGAGTATATTGTTTCCGCCTATAAATAGCAACTTTTCATTTTCCATCAGTCTTAGTAAATAATTTAACTACAGAAGAGTCAAGCTTTAAATAGGAAAATTATCTAAACTGTTTGGTCATTTTGAGCGAGATGCTAATGGTCTAATCCGATTCAATCCGATTCATAATTGAATTGAATGATTCAATTCAATTCAATTATGCTAAGCTAAGCTAAAAGTGCTTCCACTAGACTCGAAGATTGGATGAAAGGATATAAAAAATTATAAAACTCAACTGTAAAATAAAACTATTTCCAAAAAATCAGTAGTGCTCCTTTACAGAAAGCATTTTATTAATGATTTTGTTTATTTTTCAACTACACAAACTTAGTTATTAATGACTCTGAAACAAACAGCCAAAGTTTCCTTCAACATTTCCTTCAACAGTGTGCCTTTAAACAACATTCATTTCTCATTATCGTGTCAAAACAATAAGACTGCAGGAGATATTATGCTCTCATGTTATTATTAGTCTTTCTCTTATGCCTCTTCATTTATTCGCTATGCAGAGTGTTCAGTGAGTGCCGTTGCGGATCTGGTTTTCCTGGTGGACGGCTCTTGGAGTGTGGGAAGAGAAAACTTTAGATTTATCCGGAGTTTCATTGGGGCCATGGCCGGGGCCTTCGACATTGAAGAGGATAAGACCAGAGTGGCTGTGGTTCAGTACAGCTCGGACACCAGGACAGAGTTCAGTCTAAACACACATTTCAGACGACCCGATGTCCTGCGAGCCATTAAAAATCTGCCGTACAAGGGTGGAAATACCATGACGGGTGAGTAAAGGATTTGGGTGAGACTTCAGTTTAATGGTCTTTTTTGTTGACTGTAAGTTACATTGCAACTACGCTGCCGACAAATTCTCATTAGAGTATTATTAGACTAGGGTTAGGGGAAGCTAACGCATTTGAAAAATATATTATATAATGTGGTTAAAGGTATTAAAGGGACAACATTTACTCAACCTTCACTTCTCCCAAACCGGTTTATTTTCTTTTGTTGAACACAAAAGAAGATATTTGGAAAAATGTTGGAAACCGGTAACTGTTGACATCTATTGTATAGTTTCAGTCAATTATTAGTGATTTCCAAAATTTTCCAACATCATTTTTGTGTGTTTAAGAGGAAAAAGATGAAACTTAAAAACATTTGGATAGGGATGAATTGATACCGATAGCCCAATATGCAATGTCCAGAGAGTGACTCCAAAGGCAATGTAAACTGCACACACTTGATTATGTAATGTGTGACATGTGACAAGTCATGGACATGTGTTAGTGCAAGGATAAGTTATCGTTTAAATGTCCATGCTTAATCGGTAATCAAAAATGTCCATTGATTTAGGATTATCAACAATAGCCCCTTTCACACTGTGATACCAGTAAATATCCGTAAAAATACCAGAAGGACTTTACCAGTAAATTCCAAATAGCGATGCTCACACAGGCAAATACGGGTAATACCAGACGCTCTGAAGCATTAAAGTATAAAAAAGATATCTGAAGAAACACATTGGGCTCTATTTTGACGGTCCATGCGCAGGGCGCAAACGCTTTCAGGGCGTGTCAGGACGCGTTTTTGCTAATTTACGGATGGGAAAATCTGGTCTAAAAGGGTTGAGTTTATTTTCTTAATGAGTTATAGGTGTGTTTTGAGAATAAACCAATCAGTCTCATTCCCTTTAAGAGTCAGCTGCGTCGCGCCAAGAGCGCATTCGCTATTTACAGGACACAAAGTAAGTCTAAGTGGAAAATCTGAGCATTTCACAAGCAAACAGTTAACAGAAAACTGTTAAACAGAGCATCTACTGCGAGAATGAGAAATAATGGATCCACTTTCACTTTCGCTCTTGGATAGGGAAACCTTTACACACAGACATCAGTTAGCCTATAAATAATTAATTGCATTTGTTAAGCGCAAATAGTCGTTTAAAAACTATTTCTAAATTCAGTTCTAATTTCCAGCAAACGAATAAATGAATAATAATAACTAAGTGTGCTCAAAAACCTGAGTTATATCCTAAAACACATGCTGTGCCCCATATGGTCTAAAACCTGACAGGTGGGCAAATCTAAGCTTGTTTTTAATAAAACAAATATAAATATGTATATAATAAATAATACTGCTAATAATAATAACATTATACAAAAACAAATTGTTATGAATGAACTGAAAAAGCCTCCCGAGATGAAGAAGACATAAACGCCGTGATTTTTCATATTTATGTAGGCTAGAAAATAATATGTTTTGTAATATTTTAATCCTTTATATTTATATCCTATATCTATTCTTATTATATCCTATATATATCCTTAATTTTTACATTTTTTCATATGTAAAGATATTTGCCTATTGCTCTCTTGTCCGTATTAAGCAGTGTGTAAGCGAGGCGCAACTCTGCGCTGGAGTTTAGACCGAGTTTGTTTTGGTCTAATGAAAAATCTATTATAGTTTCTCAAAATAGCAACGCGCCAGCAGTGCGCCTCTGAACGCCTTGCTTTTTACACCAGAACGCCTATAGGCGCACAAATGAGCGCAAATGCATTTGCTATTTTAACAGCGTAGCGCAACGCCAAAAATGACTCTTGCGCCAAGCTGAAACTAGCAAACAAGTATTGCGCCGCGCCTTCCGCCACATTGCGCCGGGTATATGATATGGCCATTGACTTCCATAATATGTTTTGTTGCTACTATGGAAGTCAATGACTGCTGTTTTCAGACATTCTTCAAAACATCTTTTGAGTTCAACAGAAAAAATAAATTCATCAAGTTCTTTATCCAATTGAGATTGAGTAAATACCCACATAGCAAAATTTCTCTGGCCCAGCTCTGGCCCACACAATCAGGTTTTGCTTGGCCCACATGGCGCAGTGAATTACGGTATATGACTGGACCAAATCTGGCTTCCAGACAAGGGCCAAACACAGACCATATCTGGGCCAAGTCTCAGCCAAGTTAATAACTCATAACTGGGCCTGAACTGGGCCAGATAGGTTGGTGTGTCACGATTGCAATGAAATTGATAAACCCATGGAGTGATGCGCTTTAGGCACACTATGGGCATGCTTTTTCTCCTGTGACCTGATTGGTAGAATTTTTTTTCTTTACTCAAAAATGATTTTAGTGTATTTTAAATGTGGGTCAAGACTGGCCAAACTCACATGGCCCACTTATCAAATTTTTAAATCTGGGCCAAATACTACGTTTTTCATCTGGCCCAAATCTTGTGTGCCGCCTTAAAGACGGTGCCACCTCTGCCAAACCCGGGCCATGTTTGGCCCACAGGCTGTATGCCAGTGCTGGATGAATGCCTGCTGTGCCAGCTTTATGCCAAATTTGGGCCAGAATTCTTTGCTACTAGGGTAAGGATAAATTAGTTCTTTTTTTAGGTGAGCTATCTCTTTAACACCAACCCATAGTGCAATGTAGTCACTTTAGGGGTTTCTGTTAGACTAGATGTTCCAATATCATCATTGGTTTTATATCTTAATGTCTTTTCAACAAGGTGATGCAATGGACTATCTGGTGAAAAACACGTTCACTCAGGCGGCTGGAGCCAGGAAAGGCTTCCCAAAAGTGGCCATGATCATCACAGATGGAAAATCTCAAGACCCCGTAGAGGAGTACGCCGAACGGTTGAGGAACATCGGAGTGGAGATCTTTGTGCTGGGTATGAGTCTCTTCAACATGTATCTGACAGCTTGCAGAACTCTGAGGAGCTCTATTTAAAACCACAGTTCATGTTTTCAGGTATCAAAGGAGCAGATGAGGACGAGCTGAAGGAGATCGCCTCCAGACCCCATAGCAAGCATGTCTATAACGTCCCCAACTTCGACATGATCAATCAGGTCCAGAAGGCGCTCATCACTGAAGTTTGCTCTGGCGTGGAGGAGCAGCTAAATTCCCTTGTAAGCGGGGAGGAAGGTACAGCCCGGCACATTCATTCATAATCTAGACTCGCAGAGAACCGAGCAGTTAATGGAAGATCATAAATCACATTTCCATGTTTTCGCAGTTGTCGAACCAGCTTCCAACCTCAGAGTGACAGATATCTCCTCCAAATCCATGAGAATTGCGTGGGATTCATCTCCTGGTGATATCACAGGCTATAAGCTGCAGGTTTTTCCCACTATTGCGAGCGCCAAAAAGCAGGAGCTCTACACTGGGCCCACGATGACCTTGGCCAATGTCAGAGACCTGACGCCTGAGATGGAGTATGAGATCAGTCTGTTTGCTCTCAAAGGTCTGACTCCTAGTGTGCCGCAAGTTGTCACTGAGAAAACTCAGCCAGTGAAAGTATTTACAGGTAAGATGCACACTGTTAACCTGCCACCCTGCTGAAAAACCCAGCTTAAACCAGCCTACAATGGTTGGCTGGTTTTAGCTGGTCGACCAGCCTAGTGTTAAAGGGGTTTTAGGCATTTCCAGGTTGGTTTCCAGCTATTTCCAGCCTGGTCTTAGGTAGTCAGACTGGAAAGTAATCAGCTAAAACCAGCTTGACCATCCTGGTTTAAGCTTGATATAGCTGGTTTTGGCTGTGCTCCCAGCCTGGCTAGGCTGGTCAAGCTGGTTTTAGCTGGTCATCTCCCAGCCTGTCCAGCTAAAACCAGGATGGAAATGGCTAAAAACCAGCCTGGAAGTGGCCAAAACCCCTCTAAAACCAGCCTGGTTGACCAGCTAAATCCAGAAACCAGCTAAGGCTGGTTTAAGCTGGATTTTTCAGCAGGCATCTATTTGATGATTTTGTCTGAAATGTCTATGTTAATTTGAGGTGTATATTTTAGCCTTTACTGAAATAGGCTCAATTTACAACTCTCCTTAAATAGGAGTTCAAGAGTTCATAACATCCTTGAACCCAGGGCTCCCTCCCGTTGCAGGTCAAGAGGGTAGTTTGAGCTCAGGTAGATCTTGAAACTCCCCTGCTGTAATAGCTAATAAACAGATAGTGATTGCTCTTAAGAAGTAACTACTTACTAGGAGCATGTCTATGGTGCTGATTTAGATTAGTCAATTAGCTCAAGTTGCATGTTTTTGGGTGGTGGGAGGAAACCGGGGAACCTGGGGGAAACCCATGTGAGCCATGGAGAGAATGTGTAAACTCTGTACAAAAATGACGGCTGGCTTGGTAAGGACTTGAACCGTTCTTGCTGGGAGGCAACAGTGCTAACCACTGGGCCACCGTGCCACCCATCTAGGTAAGGAGTAGGGGTGGAAGGGGGGATTCTTCAAAATGAAGATAGCTGTGATATGGAACTTATGGTATTTATAGTGACTTAGGAATCACCTGATTGGTGAATCACGAATTGGCTAATGCATGACCAGCTGTGTTCAATCATAAGCATGTGATGCTCGAAGTTAGTTCATAAATAAACTTCCATTATTGTTGAGTTTTACCATTTTCGATTCCATTATGATCAAATTTTGGTTCCAGTGTAGAGATGGGCAAATGCAGTCCTGGAGGGCTGTGTAGAGTATAGCTCCAACCCTAATCAAACACACCTGACTGTACCTTTCTAGTGATCTGAAAGACACTGATTAGAATGCTTAGGTGTGTCTAGTTAGCGCTGGAGGAAAACTCTGCAAGTCAATGGCTGCGTCCGAAACCGCATACTTCCATACTATATAGTACGTTAAAATCAGTATGCGAGCCGAGTAGTATGTCCGAATTCATAGAATTCGAAAATCAGTATGCGAGAAGTACCCGGATGACTTACTACATCCTGCGAGATTCTGAAGTGCGCATCCTATGCACGCTGCGCTATTCCATAATGCCCCGTGAGAGAATTCATGAATGGGAGTGAAGCGACGCAAATGACGCAGGTAGGTCGCGTGACCATGACAAAATGGCGGATGTAGTACGTCCGAATTCCATTCATACTTTTCACATTCATACTGTACAGAACCTACTTTTCGAACGGCCGAGTAGTACGTTTACATTCAAATGCAGTACCTACTGAGTAGTAGGCGGTTTCGGACGCAGCCAATGGCTCTCCAAGACTGACTTTTCCCACTCATGTTCTAACAGAAGAACTTTTAGCTTAGCATAGATCAGGGGTGTCCAAACTCAGTCCTGGAGTGCCGGTGTCCTGCATATTTTAGTTCCAACCCTAATTAAACACACCTGAACCAGCTAATCAAGATCTTTCTAGGTATACTAGAATTCCAGGAAGGTGTGTTGGAGGAAGTTGGAGCTAAACTAAGCAGGACACCAGCCCTCCATGACCGAGTTTGGACACCCCTGGCATAGATCATTAAATCGGATTAGACATTGCTGAAAAAAAATTAAAAGAATTTTGACGATTTACCTATTTAGAGCTTGACTCTTCTGTTGGAAGGCACCCCTTCCTCCTTCAACTTCGAGCCACTGCCTCTCGAAAGGTCTCTGCACGGCACTTTTTATGTTTAGAAACTATGCTCTTATTCTGGTGTAATAATTAAGGAACTGATTGATATTGCTTGACATTGATATCATGCAGCACTGTTACCTGGCTTGGGACTATTTTCAGGAGCTTCCCAATATCATTGTTTCTGCTGGCAGTTTCTTGACATATGGATCTAGAAAATATCAACTTTCATTTTCTGTTTACATAGGAAAATTATCAAATTTATTTATTTATTTTTATTATGTCTAATTCGATTGAATGATTTATGCTAAGCTAAGCTAAAATTCCTCGCAATCGAACTGGAGATCAGATGAATGGATTAAAAATAGTAAAACTCAATCATCTTACTATAGGGAAGTTGTAAAATGAGCGTATTTTTTTAGTAAGTCCACATGAAATCCAAATTTACAGTTTATTTTGCTAGCGCACTTTTACAGTGTTAAGGTGAACTATTAATCCACTAAAAAAAAACTACCAACTACCAAAACTTTTTGGTAATTTTTTATAAAAAATCTGACCGTCTACTTTGCTCTGGAATGGCAGTCCTAATGATGTCTGTTTGACGGATTGAGTGAAATATACTTAACCTTGCCCCTCCAACCATTAGTTTGCTGCAGGCAAAAGAAGAGAGCAAAATCTCAGAAATAAAACCCCGCCCCTACTCAATATTCCATTTAATTTGGAAATACGTCATAATACTAAAATAAAAGTCTGCAGCAACTCATCCATCCCATCTGTAATCGATCTGTTCATTTCTGATCTTCAAACTGCTACTTTTATATAAATCAGGGATCATCAAACTTGTTCCTGGAGGGCCGGTGTCCTACAGATTTGAGCTTCAACCCTAATCAAACACACCTGAACAAGCTATTCAAGGTCTTACTAGGTATACTTGAAACATCCAGGCAGGTGTGTTGAAGCAAGTTGAAGCTAAACTCCAGGACCGAGATTGGTGATCCCTGATATAAATCCACCTTCAGACAGTAAACTCTTGTATTTTGTGCCCTACAGAGTGTTCCCTAGAGGTGGATGTCCAAGCTGACATTGTCCTCCTGGTGGATGGGTCATATAGTATAGGACTGCCTAACTTTGCGAAGGTTAGAGCTTTCCTCGAAGTACTTGTGAATTCTTTTGACATCGGACCTAACAAAGTGCAGATCAGCTTGGTTCAGTACAGCAGGGATCCTCACACTGAGTTCGCCTTGAATAAATTCGATGACAATGCAGCCATGGTCAAGGCGGTCCGCACCTTCCCCTACCGAGGTGGATCCACCAACACCGGCAAGGCCATGACATATGTGAGGGAAAAGATCTTTGTTTCGGGCCGTGGCGCTCGTGATAACGTCCCCCGAGTCATGGTGCTTATCACAGACGGCAAGTCCTCAGATTCTTTCAAAGACCCCGCCAACAAACTGAGGGATACAGATGTGGAGATTTTTGCAGTGGGAGTAAAAGATGCCGTACGATCTGAGCTGGAGGCTATCGCCAATGTTCCTGCTGATAACCATGTGTTTGAGGTGGAGGACTTTGATGCTTTCGAGCGGATCTCCAAGGAGCTGACCGCGTCCATCTGCCTCAGAATTGAGCAGGAGCTCCATAACATCAGGAAAAGAAGTATGTGGCAATGTCTGATTATTTTCTTTCTGACATTTCTGTTAGATGGAAAGCTCCAAGGGATAGTTCCCCAGCTGAAAAATCCAGCTTAAACCAGCCAAAGCTGGTTGGCTGGTTTCAGTTGGTTGACCAGCATGGTTTTAGAGGGGTTTTGGCCATTTCCAGGCTGGTTTCCAGCAATTTCCAGCCTGGTCTTAGCTGGTCAGGCTGGGAGATGACCAGCTAAAACCAACTAAAACCAGCTTGACCAGCCTGGTTTAAGCTGGACACAGCTGGTTTAGGCTGAGCTCCCATCCTGGTTGGGCTAGTCAAGCCGGTTTTGCTGGTCATATCCCAGCCTGACTGGCTAAGACCAGGCTGGAAATTGCTGGAATTCAGCCTGAAAATGGCCAAAACCCCTCTAAAACCATGCTGGTCAACCAGCTAAAACCAGCCAACCAGCTTAGGCTGGTTGAGGATGGATTTTTCAGCAGGGTCACCCAAAATATGGTGAAGTTTTCATTTTTAAAATATTTATTGTAAAATTTCACCAAATTACTTAAACAGGTCTATTTGGAAGGAATTCAAACCTTTGCATTGATTGGGATTGTAGGGGAGTGCATCTACTCAACGATGTACAATTTAACAATGTACCTTTATTACAAGCGTAGTTAAAAACAATACAGCAAAGGTACTAATTAAATAAATAGTGCTTTATAAATAGTGCCAAAAATAAAAATAATTGACTCACCTTTTACTTGTTTTAAATCTTCGTGAGTTTCTGTATTCCGTTAAACATAAAATAATATATTTTAGTGAAAGCTGGAAAACCTGCACACGTTGACTTCAATAGTATTAGGTGTTTTGGAAGTCAAAGGTTACAATTTTTTTGGCTTTCTTCAAATTGCCTTCTTTTGTGTTCAACAGAAAGGTTTTGATCCAGCTGAGAGAGAGAGTAAATTTTAATTTTTGGCCAAAATAACTCTTTAAGTAATAATCTGTAAAAAATAATGCTATATAGTCTTCATCATCTATATAATTAAATATAATAACTCGGAATTCTGAACTGTGCTGCTGGTCAACTATAATCCTGATTCAACACTGCAGATCCTGCAATGTGACTATTGCAGATATGCATATTATCATATCAATGCTGGAGCAATGTATAGTGCATCCCTCGTGTATATGTAGAATAAGAAAATATGTGATGCTTTTCAAATGTCTTTGTGGAGCAAACAAGCTAGTATGACAGTTTTTAAAAGATCTAAAAGTGAAAACTCTGTCATTAGTTACTCTACTTACTCCCTTGTGTTGTTTTAAACCCCTAAGTCAGGGGTGGCCAACCCTGTTCCTGGAGAGCCACCTTCCTGCAGATTTCAGTTGCAGCCCATATCAAACATACCTGCCTGTAATTATCACGTGGTGTTCAGGTCCTAATTAATTGGTTCAGGTGTGTTTGATATAGGTAGCAACTGAAATCTGCAGGAAGGTGGCTCTCCAGGAACAGGGTTGGCCACCTCTGCCCTAAGTGCTTCGTTCATCTTCAGGACACAAATGAAGATATTTTAGATGATCCTCCATGTACAGTAAAACTCTTTAAATGTTCAATGTTCACAAAAAAACATTGTCAAAACATTTAATGTGATTTCAAGGGTTCAACGCTAATCATACAAAGCTCAAAGAACAGTTTTGTGCACCAAATAAGCCATAATTATGACTTTGTTTGCCTATTTCTTGTCTTCTTCGTCAGTTCAGATTAAATGTTTACTTTGGACATTATGATATTTGCTTGTTGGCCTACCCATTGCCAACATTCTGACCTAAGAAGATATGGGCAAACTTTTTTTGTCATTTTTTTGGCTCATAAAGTGTTCTTAGAGGTTTGTATGATTGCAGTAGAACAACTAACAATGTTATCGGTTACTTTTCTGAACTTTGAATGTCTTGAGAACGTTGGTGTCTATGAAGCAGGCCCAGATTGGCTAATCGGGAGGACCGGGAGAATTCCCGGTGGGCCGGTCCTTTTTTTGGCCGCGAGGGCCGGTGTCCCTAGCTCCAGAATCTGTCGCTCTCAGCAGTCACACTTTTTAAAATTAATTTATTTATTTACTTGACCACAGCCTTCTTATTCATTATTTTACCGCAGCTCTGCTCTTTTTATGTATTTTCTCGTAGCCTCGTGAGCAAGATGCAGCCTGCAGGTTAATGATGATATAACTAGATGAGTCACCATTCAATGTACAGCTGTTGTGGTACAGTGGTTAGCATGTTAGGTTATGACGCTGCCAACCCGGGTTCGGTCCTCGTCTGAGCAACTTTTTTTTTATTGTTAAGACATATAATACTGTAAGGGTTGCTGAACATTTAAAGTTCTAAAGCAGCTGTTTTCTCAAAAAAAAAAAAAGACGTGATAGTGTCATTAGAAACTGAATTAGAAATGATCTTATTTTAATATAGTCAGTGGTGAACAGAGGTGGACCGGTCTAAGGCTTGAAACTCCGGCCCTGCTATGAAGGATGAGAGAGGTCTTGGATTTCATCTAAAATATCTTCATTTGTGTCCTGAAGATGACCAAATGTGTGGTTGAAATGATGAGGGAGAGTAATTAATAACATAATTTACATATTTAGGTCAACTAAAGCTTTAAAGCCAAATGGTAAACTTCCAAGAAATTTGCACCATTTAAACCATTCTCACATTAACTTACAGTACTTTGTTTCACCTCTCAGGTTTGCTTCCCCCAAAGTCACTGAGCTTCTCTGAGGTGACCTCCAGGAGTTTCAGGACCTCATGGGTTTCTGATGGAGAGGATATCCTGTCTTTTCTGGTGCGCTTCAGGCCAGCGGCGGACCTAACTGGAGACTACATCTCTCTGGTGGTTCCCCATGACATCACCAGTACAATTCTGCCCAATCTCACGCCACTCACCACCTACGAAGTTAACGTCATTGCTCAGTATGATAAAGGAGACAGCTTTCCTTTGACGGGCGAGGAGACCACTTTAGAAGGTATGTAAATAAAGCCGGTTGATTAATTGAAATTAAATAGCAAAAGCGATTGAAAGCTGTGACTGTCATGCACATCTTGTCGGGGAAGCATGGTTGTATTATCAGTAATAAAGCCCAGAGGGAGCTCTAGTGCAAAAACTACAAACAAGAAGAAGAAACACAGGAAGTGCTCAAAGGGTTGCAGTAAAAACATAAGGATTTTTTAATTGGTATAACACAGTGATACAGACAGGAAAGTATTTGGAACAGAGAGAGGGGAAGGGTTGGCAAACGACCTTGAGCTGGGAATTGAACTCGAGTTGCTGTGACTACCAAAGTGCTATATGTCAGCACACTTAACCACTAGGCTATTGAAAATCACCAAGAAAAGGAAGTTAAGATTGTTCTTTTTTCTTCTATTGTGGTATATATCAACTTGAAAGGGTCATAAAAATAGATAAAATACTAGGGCAGTGTATGATTTTATGATTTTAATCTTACCAATTGGATCATTGGAAGATTGTCATCGCTAAAAAATGAAAAAAGATTGGCCAATAGATGAGAGCATAGCAAAAACAAGACACGCCCTGAAAGCCCTGCCCTGAAGGACTGAGAGCTCTGCCCAAAATGCATTCCATGTGACCAGAAATGAAGAAAAGTGGTTTCGACAGGGAGAGAAGCAGATATTTTTTTTAAGTGCACTGATACATTATCACAATGTAAGAAAATAAGTTTGATTACAGTCCGATGCAAACTGCTGTCATTATCACAGAACAATTAACTCATTACATTTATGTTTCAAATATCGTTATCAATATGTCATTATCGTTCAATAAAATAATTTCGTTTTTAAACACAATTTGGCATTACATGTCTGTGAGTTACCACTCTTTCTGGCAAATTCTGCTCTGACGCCCCATTCACACGGGGCGTCAGCGTCAACGCTTCCCATTCACTTTGATGGTTGCCGAACTGCATTATGGATCTGTCGGAGCCACTTCAGCGGCATTGCTCGCTGCAGAAGTTGGGACTAGCTCAACTTTTCAAGCGCCGACGGAAGCATCAGCCAATCAGATCACTGTATGCAAATACACCAGCTAGACAGTGGCCTATTGCTGACTCAATTTCATTGGGTGACTCTTCTATGATGATCACTTCAGCCCCAATTTCAGACACGCCTTCAGTCAAGAGTTGATGCTGAAGCACCGTGTGATTGGGGCGTCAGAGAGCATGAGCTTGAGGTTTACAAAAACCAGCTTTACTGACAATATGCACATGAAATTTATCTTCGATTTATCGCCCAGCCATATGTTTGATCACTAATCTCAGATGTTTACAGCTTTTTTTTTGCGTTTGACTGATATTTCTGATCTTGCTATTAAGAGTTGGGTTCTGTTCGTAACCTGATGGTGAGCGAGGAGGCTGTGGACCGCTTTCGGGTGTCGTGGAGAGCTGCTCCAGGATTAGTGCTGAGGTACAGACTGCTCTACGAGCCTGTGAGCGGAGGGGATAAACTGGAAGCAGAGACTGATGGGAATCAGGTCACCACTGTGCTCAATGAACTACTACCGGTCACTACTTACCGGGTCACCGTTTACCCTGAGTACGCAAGTGGAAGGGGTCCCTCCATGGACACTGAAGGCACCACCAAAGAAGGTCAGGATTGCTCAAGTATATCAGTCTGCGGACTGCAAGAGAGGGACGTAGCATGCAGGAGGTGTAAATTGTGGATATCGAGAACCCATTGAACCATCCAAGATGTCACAATGAGTTTAGGTTTGGGGTAGATGTAGTCGTTAACAACTGTTATGGTTTGGTTTAGGTTAGGGGTAGGTGTAGATGTTGACAACTCCCTGCTGGAAAATCCAGCTTAAACCAGCCTAGGCTGGTTTAGGCTGGATTTTTCAGCAGGGCTGTTATGGTTGGGTTTAAATTTGGGACAGGTGTAGACATTAACAATTGTTTTGGTTTCGTTTAGGTTTGGTGTTGGTGTAGACGTTAATAACTGTGATGATTGGGTGTATGTTCGGGGTAGGTGTAGATGTTAACAACTGTTATAGTTGGGTTTAAGTTTGGGGGTAGGTATAGACATTAACAACTGTGATGGTTGGGTTTAGGGTTGGGATAAGTGTAGATGTTGATAACTGTCAAGGTTGGGTTTAGAGTTGAAGTAGATGTAGACGTTAATAACTGTGATGGGTACATCGCCATTTTGCCGACAACATAGTTTTGACACGTAGGTCTCTAACTTCCAAGTTTAGCCTCTACTACAAGTTACGCCCCTCTCCCGCAGTTTGCAGACAGATCCTACACAGATTGTTGGTGGGTTTGCTCATAGTACTTTCATTTGAGATTCCTAAACTAGTCTATTAATCCCGTTTGTTGTTCTCTCTTAGTTCGAGGTTCTCCACGCGACTTAAGGGTCTTCAATGAGACGGTGTCTAGCATGAGGGTCTCGTGGCGGGCTGCCCCAGGCAACGTGCTTCAATATCAGGTGGCCTACAAACCTGACGGTGGGGAGAGGAAAGAAATAAGTGTTAAAGGAGAGACAACAACTGCTGTGCTGAAAAATCTGCTGCCGGACACGGAGTATGAGCTGTTTGTTAGCGCACGTTACGTCTCTGGACTTGGCGCACCACTTATGGGAACAGGCACCACGCTGGAAGGTAAGAGACTTTAAAATTACTTATGAAGCTTGTGTTTGTTTGAGGGATGGTTTAAGACACCCTGAAGGCTTGTGCATACCGGGTTGATTTTCTCTTGTGCCTATTGTCAGCATTTGAGAACTTTTTGGGATTCATATCAAAGCAATTTTCACTGGCGATAAACAAAGTGAATGTGCAAAATCACTTCCTGATGTAAGATGATGTATAATGAAAAACAGAATTACCCCGGTATACAACGTGGCACTGCACAACACTTCTGACTCTTACTTAATATTCGCTGATATACTCTCCAATACCAGCTCAGTCTCACAAGGAAATTAATAACCATGGTATTGCATTGGGAATCCTTCTCCCTAACATCTCCAGCTTGTCAACATTTTTGTAGTTGCTGACACATTTATCAAACAGCTTTTTGTGTTTAGACCCCAATGAAACAAGTAGCTCCACATTCATCTCACCTCAACGCATGATCTTCATCATTTGGAATGTGTGCTCTTCTAGACCATTTTGTTTTGGAGTACCACTAAGTCACTAATGTGGTCGACCAGTTTTTAACACCTTACATGATCCCCGAACACCCCCCAGCCCCTACCCCCAATACTGATCTTACCTCTGCCGATTTGTGGAATGGTGTGCCTATTGTTGCCCTTTGTTGTGAGGCATGAAATTTATGCAAGCGTGAACGAAAATCATCTCAATGTTTACTGGCTTTGACATTGTTTTTCAAAAACCGATGCAGATGTATCTATGTACCTATGTAGGACACCGACCCTTCAAGACCGAGTTTGGACACCCCTGCTGTAGTGTTTATCTGCATCCCTGATCAAACACACCTGTCTTTAATTACCAAGTGTCCTTCAGATAAGACTTAGGCCCCTGCGTTTTAGTTTTAAAACGGCGTTTTAGATCAAAAACAATCCGCGTCCACACTAGCGTTTCACCTAGTGTTCTGAACATATCTCCGTCCACACTACGCCACCAAAAACGTATATCACATGACCATTCGCGCACTCTGGGCATGCGCGTTCTAGTATAAACAGGAAGCATGTGTCTTGCTTGGCATTTGGTTATTGTTAGTCAACAAACGCAGATTGAATAATGAACGCGATGGCAAAGAAAGTAAGAGAGGTATTTTTGTGGACAGACGACCAGGTCGAGTTGGTACTAAACGTAACAAATGAGTAACCGAACAGTAGCGCCTAAAACAGACAATAGTGCAAGCAACGCTCCTATTTCTGTTTCCATGTTGTTTTTTACAGTGAAGGCTGGTCTGCTGTCTTCCGGTAGCGTTAAAGCCATGTGTTATAGTCATGTGATAGAGGCTTGACGAATAAGGGAAGGATACGCAATGACACAAAAGCCCCAATCAGGTAGCGAATCTCAGCAGTCCTGCCTCTATTTTCAGATGTCTTCGTTTTTCCTCATCCACACTAAGACAGAGCAGCAGCGTTTCAGAATGAAAACAGCCTCTCCAGCGTTTTCGAAATGCTCTGTTTTCGGCGCTCGAGAACTCCAGCATAGTGTGGACGGATGGCGTAACCGTAGCAAAACTTATGCGTTTTAAAACGAAAACGCATTAGTGTAAACGGGGCCTTAGTTGGTTTAGTTGTGCTTGATCAGGAATGGAACTGAACTCTGCAGGAAGGTAGATCAAGGTGATCAAAATGAAGGCCAACAAAAACGAAATATCCATGAGGTGGAAGGAAGTAGCAGTGGAGAATTTGACTAACTTCCAGATACTCCAAATCATCTCAGTGTTTACTGGCTTTGACATTGTTTTTCAAAAACCGATACAGACGTATTGATGCCAGGTTGACTTCACTCTGAATTCCAATTGATATGAAAAGAAGCTGAGAAATAACATAGCTGAAAACAGAGTCCAAATCCAAAATATATGTATTTTTTGAAAACAGAAAATACGATTATTATTTGACAACTATTCTCAAAATATGGCACTTTTTCAGATACTGGCAGATGTTGAGAATTATGGGATAGTGTTGAAAAGAAGCTGCACACTTTGATGGTTTGTTTTAGATGGAGTTCTCTGCTGGCCTAATTGTTTCTTCGCACGCTTCTGTATCACAATGTTAACAGAGGACAGATGTGCTTGAAAGACATTCAGTGTTATCTGTCAGTGTGAAATGCACAGTGAATAATGTAATTTTAGGAACAAAGTTGACGACCTTTGAGACTGACTCATCTAATGACAGATCTCATGTGGATTCCCCCATGCTGTGGGTTTATACATTTGGAGTGTGGACATCGGATGAATTAGCTGAGCTTGTAAAAAGTTCCTCACTCATGCTTGGCCATGCTTACGCAGTAAATGGAAACAAAATCTCAAGTGATTTTGGTTTGGAGAAATATGTTCTATCTGTACTCCAGTCCAAACTCTTGGTCATACAGTGTATATTTGTGACCAAGCTTTTCCTAAATTACTAATTCAAAACCTCTTTGTAGATCTATAGATTACTTGTCATTATGATTTTGTGCTGACAGAAGGAGTTTCACTGATTACTCGTTATTTTTTGAGAGAAGACAGTGACTATTCCCTTGATGAAGAGAATAGAATAGAGCTAGAGTTTACATGAGGGACCTTTTTGTTACTTGTGGGAATACTTACTTCAACTCTTTCTTTTTGATGGATTATAATTATAAAATAAAATAGAATCGAAGGGCAGCACGGTGGCTCAGTGGTTTGCACTGTTGCCTTACGGCAGGGGTGTCCTGGAGAGTTACCTAATCAAACACACCTGAACCAGCTAATCAAGCTCTTACTAGATATACTAGAAACTTCCGGGCAGGTGTGTTGATGCAAGTTGGAGCTAAACTCAGCAGGAAAGCGTGGGGCCAAGTTTGGAAACCCCTTCCTTACAGCAAGAAGATTCGAGTCCTGGCTTGACTGGGAAGCCTTCCATGTTCCTATGGGTTTACTCTGGGTGCTTTGGTTTTTCCCCCACAGTCCAAAGACATGAGGCCTGTTTCATTAAGAAGGTTCAACCAACTCAGAGTTTAAACTTGAACTCTGCGTTGATTTAAAGAGAGATTAAAAACTCAGAGTTTTTGATTTCAGAACAGCTGATCTTAGTTAGGTCAATCAACTTTGACCAGTTGACCAGTGGTCACCAAACTTGTTCCAGGAGGGCCGGTGTCCTGCAGATTTTAGCTCCAACCCTAATCAAACACACCTGAACAAGCTAAGCAAGGTCTTGCTAGGTGTACTTGAAATATCCAGGCAGGTGTGTTGAGGCAAGTTGGAACTAAAACTTGCAGGGACATCGGCCCTCTAGGATTGATGACCCCTGGAGTAGACCAATTCAGAGTCACACCGCAACTTTAAGAAGGCATTGGAGCACAGATATTACGAGTCACCATGGCAACATCTGAAAAAAAAGCTCAGCATTTCTTTCTTCAGTTGAACTTGTGTTTCCCAGTGCTTGGTTATGGCAAGAAGGGCATCTGCCAAATAAAACATAAGCCAGAGTAATTGATTGTCCTTTCTGCTGTGATTACCTAAATAAACTGAAGGGAAGTAAGTGAGAATAGAATATAATCTTCTGTTGTCATTGTACATGTACAATTGATTTAAGTGCAAACCCCAGGTGTACAAATACCATGTGCAAACATCGTAAAGTTTTACAAACTAATTTCAAGATGAGCAAGTGATATGATTAATCGCGGCTGGCCTCTCATCTGTAATCAGCTATAATTTAATCAGATCAATCCAAGCCTACAATAAATAGACCGATTTCACCCTACTACCTTATCTTCGTTTTGGAAGAATGCCCTCTTCCACCCAATCTCCTCCTTTTCCTTCCTTTAACAGGGGGGCTCTCGAGACCTACCGGATCTCAAACCCCCATATATGCTTATTGACCAGGCAGAAGCTCTGGGAATAATTATCTCTGAGCTCAGGGTTTTCTTCTGGGACAGCATGCCAAACCTGCTTGTAAGGGATGTCCAGATCCACGTGATCACAAATTGGGCCTGATCATGTGGTTTCAGACTTGATCGGAATCGGACGTTACCTCCCGATCATGACTCGAATATATATATATATATACATACTTATTATTTTTTACACATCTATAATTATGCAGTGGCTCAGACATAGACCTCTGAGATAGACGCTATTGGTTAAATGCCAGCAAAGTTGAACACGGAAGCTTGAAGCGCAAAGTATGTCTGCGGTCTGGAGGTATTATAAAATAGATGACGACAACATTGCCATTGCCAACATTGTGAGACATGTAAACTTGCCATTGCAAGAGGTGGAAAGGCAAAGGCTTAATTTAACACAACAAACCTGATAAGACACCTCAAAAACAAACGTAGAACCTTGATTTGAATCACCGTCTCACCACTATTTCACAGCCTTTTATAAGATTTCTGACAAACTACTTGTCCTTTTTTATAAGATGCACTCCATGTTTCATGTTTCGTTCACCACAGACATATAAAGTTTGTCCATAGCACCCATGTCTCTACTAAGCCTTTATGTGTTATACAAGTATTGGCTCGGGTTTCGGTATCAATACTCAAATTCAAATGACTCAAATTTGAGGGCAAAAAAAACTGATTGGGACATCCCTACTGCTAATAGTGTCAAGGAATATCTACGTGTGAACTCTTGAAATATAGTTATATTAAAACTAAAGATTCCATCTTCTGTACTAATGACTGACCAACATACAGAAGTACATAATTCAGTGGCTTGCCATTATGCATTATAAATATGAAGATTGAGCTGAAAGAAACTGACTAATTTCTGGCCAGATGACAAGGTGTTTCCAAACTGAGCCTTGTCAAACTTCATATCCTGGAGCCTAACACAGCTTCCTTTGTTTTGGTTGCTTTCAGCCAAACCCAGTTAGGGCAATTAGGAAGTGACTTTAGACAAGGGCTTGAGGGACCAATCAGAAAATGTCTGAAAGTCATATTCCATCTGCTTTTCAGCCTACTGAATTGAATTGTTAAAATTGACATTACATTTGTTGACT